GTCTCCATGCGTGGGAAGATACTCTCGTCCTGTAGCTCCTTCAACGTGATCTTCTTTGGCTTGTTGACGAGACCCTCGACTTCGAAGAAGTATTTCTCCGGGTCGATCTCAGGTATGCCACCGTGGTTTCTCACAAAGTGGTCTTTGTTGTTGGTTATCTCGGTTTCGACAAGGCGCTTGCGCTCCGGCTCTCCGTTGTAAGGGAATTGCAGTACATGGACCATGTCCTCGCTCTTTTCTTTCTTAACGTGTTCCCAGGAGTCGGCCGGCATGTCCTTCAGCGTCTTGCCCATCGCGTAGTGGTAGTATTTCCATCGTACACCCTCAAGCACCGGGTTGGTATCGGGCAGCGGTTTCAGCTGGAATTCGGGAGGTACGGGGAAGTCATATTTCGCCAGGATTTCTGCCGCCTGCTTCTTCTTTTCTGGGTATCGCTCCCACTCGATGTATCCTTTCCATCCTTCTCGCTCTTCTGGGAAATTCGGCTCTTCGGCTGTCAAGAGCTCGAAAGGCTTTGCGTTGGGTTCAGCGGGCGCCATGGTCGTAGTGTGGAGTTGGGGAAGTTTGATCTAGCATGAGGCTCGGGATGCATGCCCCTACAAATGCGCGCGACTGTCGCATTGTGGAGTGGACGCGCCAGCCCATGTGCGTTATGTCATGACCTCAAGGTGACTGATACTTAATAATGGGCTATACTGATCTGCCATAACGTGTACTGCAGGCAACCCCTGTACATCATCGTGCCAGCACGTGGTCTACCTGGATCCACGAATGAAAATGCCGCAAGCTCCGCAAAAGCGTTAGGAAGAGATACACCACTGCGTCATCATGATGAACGTTGAAGAGCTGCCACACATCCTAGGCGGGTACCACGCGCCTAGAACCAATAATCGTTAAGCCCGAAATCCGAGACTGGGCAGGGCAAATGCCGGAGAAAAGATGGAAACGGTGCGACCCGCATGCGATTGATGAGTAAGAATGCTAAAGTCTTGAGAATGCTTCTTATTAGTAGTCATTGCTTACAGACATGCTTGGCGTAGTACTCGTGAGCCAGGCCAGTTCTAGTCGGTGATGCGGAGCTGATTACATGCAGGCCGCATACGAGAAGTTAGAAGAGGCTCGCTTGTATCGCCGACGATTTTCGGGAGGGCCAGCGCGAATTTTCATCCCAGGGGTCAGGCATACTGCAGACAAAACCGGAAAGCAGCGCGACGACCATCGTTGTTGCAGAGCAAGGGATGGCCAGAGTTGGCATGCACGCATGGAAATGCGCGGCAGTTGCTTCACAGGTTCTGCACGTGTCGCCTCGGCAAGTTGCATGGCGTGCTAACCCGAAAGGGCTTGACCCACTTCTGCCCGCCGTCATCTCACCGCAGAACACCATGATCTCAGCATCTACACATCCGTCAGTCTCCGCACGTCTGCATTCGATATGGATGATCAACAAAGAAGCCGCAATAACATCTCTCGAAATCCCAGCCTAGATCACCAACATATCACTCAGCTTTCGCAATGGCGGACGCGGAGCTAGTAGCGCAATGGAGTGCACCCCTAAAGAATTGCTGCTATCTTAGCTGTAGGCATTACGCCGCCTCATTCCAACCACAGAATAGGATTCCGACCCGTCAAACTATGCCAATGCGTCTCACAACATCAGTCAAAGCCAAGCACCTGCATGCTAGAGGAGCGGATCATCTGCTAGTCGTTCTCACGCGCTCCACGTCCTTACGATCTGATCGAAGAAATCTCATCGAATAGCATCGCAATTCACGTCCCCTCCGAGGAGGATCAAACATCGAACGAACGCGATTCGATATGGCATCGGAAGATGAGGACTTTCCCCACGTGGCGGCGCCATCAAGGGCCGCCCTTGCAATCACGGCCCGCGTCCTGCGGTTCCAGAGCTCGATATTATTGACTGGCCGACATGCGACCTCTAGGAAAGCGTGCGATACGGAGTAGCATCACACACGTTCAGCTGGATTTCAAATGAAAACCACAGCCGGGGCTATGGGCTCGCATTGCTGGAATGTGTTCAATCCCAACTGTACGAGTAAAAGCTATGAAACACGAGATCAAGGGATCGCCCAATACAGTGGAGGAGCCGTATCAGCTAGAATCTAGATGGAGATTCGTATCTCGCATCTGGCAAACGGAAGGACCATGTATGCATGTCTCCGTGAGGACATCTGGACGATCTGGCCAATCGCAATTTTGAATCTGAACTTCTACGCCGCGTAAATGCAGATATGGTTCATACTGGGTGAGAATACGGCGACATATGGCTTGGAGGATGGCAAGCGCGGGTTACGTGTCTGCCCAGAGAGACTATGGGAGGCACACCATCATCAATGGGGGAAGCCCAGTTCACCCGGCAGTAGACTGCTACATCTCGGCTTGCTCAACACGTCTTAAATAGTCATATTCATGGGTCACCCTCAACACTAGTTTTCGCCCCCGCATCTTCGCCTCTCATTTTCACGTTTTGTTGTCTATACATTTAGAGCAACAATGGTCAATATGGTAGCAAATGCCCAGAGCGCGCTGTTGCAGAAATCTAGAGACTCTGCCTCTTTCGATACGTTTCAGCTTACGTGCATTCTCTGGGGAAGGTGAGCACAATTTGTGAGCCTATGTAACCTCCTCGCTGACCCATCTGCAGTGAGAAAATTGTCAAAGAGCGACGGGCCGCCTTCAAGCGAGTTGAGAAAGCAATCGGCACCGACGACAATGCAAAGCTCCCTCGATGCTACGCGCAGACCTCACGCGAAGATCTGTTCGAGCAAGGTCTTGAGATGGGAAAAGCGTGTCTGGATGATATGCTCAAGCATGACCATGAACATTTTGTGTGGATTACGCCGCGATACAATCTTATGAACGCCAGGTATGTGGAAGTAGTCAGGAGAATCTTCCACGACTGACTAACTGACTTCCAACAGCCCCTTCGGCCACAAAGCCATCCTCTTCGAGCCCGGGATGGAGCACAACGGTACTGAGAAACAAAAGGCAAAGTGGCTACCGCTCGCTCGATCCGGCAAGATACTTGGTACATACGCACAAACCGAGCTTGGTCATGGTTCATTCGTACGAGGTATCGAAACGACCGCCACCTTCGACCCCAATCGCGATGAGTTCGTCGTTCACTCGCCAACAATCTCGTCGACAAAGTTCTGGCCTGCAGGGCTAGGCTTCTCGACCACACACGGCACTGTCATGGCTCGACTCATTGTTGGCGATCAGGACCACGGCCCACATATATTTCTTGTACAACTTCGCTCAGTCGAGGACGGCACACCAATGCCAGGTGTGAAGATGGGCGATGTCGGCTTAAAGCTTGGGTAAGTAAGGAGATCGCAGAAGGCGTCAGAATTCAGTCTCTGACCATGATCTAGCTACAACGAAGCAGACAATGGCTTCGCCTCTTTCGACAACGTTCGCATCTCTCGATCGCAGATGCTCATGGCCCACAGCCAGCTCACATCCGATGGTACCTTCACCAAAGACCCCATAAGCGCCAAGCTCTCGTACTCCGTCATGCTGCTCGTCCGCGGCAGGATGCCCAGCGTCTTTACGGTTCAGCTAGCCCAAGCTTTGACGATTGCGACACGATACTCTGTTGTACGACAGCAAGGCCTCGGACCTGCCGACGCGTTTGCCACCGAAGGAAGCATCTTGCACTACAAGCATCAGCACTTCCGTCTTTTGAGCTTGATCGCCAAGACGTACGCCATGTTCTTCGGGTCTCGGGTCTGCGACGAACAGTATAACAAACTACGGGAGATGCAGAGCAAGAACGATCATTCTCTTCTGCCGGCTGTTCACGCATTGACTGCTGGAATGAAGGCGTATGTCACGTCTGAGGCTGCTGATGGTGCCGAAGACGCGCGCAAACTATGTGGCGGTCATAGTTATATGTCTATCTCAGGCCTGCCAGACATCGTCGGTGCCTTGGTCGGTGGAGCAACCTTCGAGGGCGAGAACTACGTTCTGTGGCAACAACTCGGACGACATCTCCTCAAGCAACTTGACCGCCTACAAGATGGCGAGCCGATCGAGCCCCACGTGCAGTACCTGACCGATATCGAAGACCCTAAACTTCCATGCTGCGCATCCGCAACGCAATTTCTCGACCCTAAGGTACAACTCGCCATCTATCGCGACCGTGCACACCGTATGGTTGTAAAGGCGCATTCGGCAATTCGCGCATCAAGCAAGTTGCCAGCGGATGCGTGGAACGAGCACATGATGCTACTCATCTCCGCCTCGCGGGCCCATATTGAGTACTTCATTCTGAAGTCATTCACCGACTTCATCTCGAGCCTGTCTGACTCTACGTGCAACTACCTACGCATCGTCTTAAACCGTATGCGCTCCCTCTACGCCCTTTCAACGATTATAAACCCACGTACCGTCGACGCAGTCTCCTTCATCGAGACAGCTGACGAGCGTTCTCCGTATTTCACTTCGGGACAGCTCGACACTATCCGGCATCTTGTCAACGGTTTGCTCGATCAGCTACTGCCCGAGGCCGTTGGTCTGATGGACGCGTGGGACTTTTCCGATGCCAGTCTCTGCAGTGCGCTGGGTATGTACGACGGCAATGTATACGAGAACATCATGCGATGGGTCGAGCAGTTGCCTATCAATCAGAAAGCGTGGCAGAATGCTGGGGTACAGCAGGGGTGGAAGAAGTGGGTTGATCCGATCCTGAAAAGGGAGGCGAAGTTGTAGAGCGACGGAGCCTGGATGTGTGATTCATGTCGTCGCGATAGTATGGGTGTGATGAGGATAGCAGTGTTGGATGCTGTGAATGAAGATGTTTTGAATTTGCAAGACAGCTACAGCTGGACTTTGGCCTGCTCCTATATAATACAATGCAATAATCCCAGCGAGCTCGGTACCAATGTGGACTGGTAGATTTCCACTCCTATGTGACGCAACCTCAATACTCTTCAACACAAGCTGCGAGATCAAAGTGCATCCCGGTGCGTCTCTTTGGCTTACGGCCATAGAACACGTAAATCTTCGTCGGAGAGAACTTTGGTCAACTGACTGATCCAAGTCGGCGCGTTGAGCCTTTCAACCTTGACATCGAACACATTATAGCCTTTCACGTTGACCATAACCCTCTTTCCTCCTTCGACGAGTTCCTCCAGGACAGGGAAGATCGACTGTAGCTTTGACACAAGCGCTACAACTTGCTGCCGTCTCAGCGTCGAGGAGGGCCTGTGTAGACATTGGAGATAAACAACGACCCGCGCATTGACTCCTAGTGGGAGCAGTCTCCGGAGATTAGCGTCAAGTTGGGTAACATTTTCATCGACGCCTTCGACATAATCGAAGCGAATGTAGATATGCTTGACGTGCTGGTGCACATCGATGTCCAAGCCCAATGTGTCCTGAAGGAGGAAGTCCAAGCCTAGTGAAGCAACTTCAGGGTTGCTACCACGTCCTGAAGGGTTGCTACCACGTCCTGAAGGGAAGCCGGGGACCATGAAGGTTGATACCTCGTACCACATCTCGCCAATCTCTTTCATGGTATCAAGCGGAACGTATCCATGTGTGAAGAGATGGTCGTAACTGGTCGTCTGGAGCGAGTTCAGCCACCAAAGGTTGCCAAGGTGGCCCCACGTGGTGTAAGTCTTCCGCGGAAGTAGATGAGCGTATACCATATCGCGTAGTTCCCGTGGTAGTTTACTCTGCATCATCTTGGACAGAGTCATGCATTCTGCCTTCGCGTGGATCGCTATGTACGTCATGATTTCTTTGTAGAATTTTCTCGCTTCGTTATCGATCGCGACAGATTCGTGAAGTCTGGCCAGAAAACTCTCATGAGTGGGGGCCGTTGTTCTTTCGATGAGTGAAGTGTAAACGTGATGCAACAATGCTCGTTTCCGCAGAGCGCTTAACGGATGGTTAGCAGGTTCTTTCTTAGTCTCGATAGCGCTTACTTACCGGTGGACGAAATCCCTATCCATGGTCGAGCTTGACGGGCTGCGCCGCAAATGTTCCAAAGGTGTCGCAATGTGGGGACGGTACCTAACTGGGAGAGTCTCGGTACGACTGAGAAAATGAAAAGCGTGACACTAGCTCTCGTTTGTTATTCTTCAAGTTTCTCCAGGCAACAGCACTGGCACGTGATCGACCGTGTAGGCGCACTGGACACTTTCCACAACAAGCTAGCACCTCTGCTTGTACTACGCAGACCTTCCAAATCACATTCTCGCAATGACTAATCGCCTTCATATAACCTCTTCATGCCCATGAGCCTTGCATGTATCTCCCTCCAGCATCACCGATCCAGTGCTTCGTTTCCGAGTTTTGAAAGAGGACGCGCTCAGCTCTAGTCGTCAACGCCGTGAAGAACCTCACCAATCTGCACTTGAGAGCAGAAGATGAGCACTGCACGCCATGGCCTTGTTGTTGTTTGGAGACTACCGCGCCTTGAAATTCGTGAGATGTGTCTTCTATACTACACCTAAGAGCTGCTCGTTGTCCTTTGACGGGCGTGTTGTCAGAGCCTATTACCCTTCTTGCAGCAACTGTCGTCTTTGCTCTCCAGTCAGCGATAGATAACGATTATGTATATGGCTAGCAACCGTGAAGTGTGAGCATGATTAAGATGATGAAAATAAAATGACCCTAAACGCCGTCTCCTAGCCCGTACGAGGGCAATGGGTATCTATGCAGGCCGTTGGTACACAGAGTAAAATACATTTGCAACCAGAAAAACGCCACCTCCCCCCTCATTTCTTGTGCACTACAACCACAATACGCCACGAATGTCAGCGCTCGAAGACTGGTAAGGAAACAGCTCCGCGACATTCTCTGGAGCATCTTTTCCATCAAGGCAATCCTCCACCACACGCACAATGCTCTCGAAATCAGACAAGACGCGTTTCGCATACGGCTGACTAAAGGCCAAGTCATGTAGCATGCCCTTAGCGCGGTGGAAGGCCTCGATGTGGGCCTCGGTGTGGGGATGCGTCCTTCCAGCAGAGTCGCGGACGAGAAGAGAGCAAAATACCAGAAGTGCATTCGACAGGGACGTTATCATACGATGCCGAAGGCTGAATGGCTGACGAACTTCCCGCGTAAAGAATGTCGAATGGGTGAGGCTGAAGCCGGCAAGTTGGCGGAGGTGTTCAGCGTGATTATCGTCGTATTGCAGAGAGATTATGACGGAACGTAGCCCCCAAAGAACGAAGTCTCTCTTCTTCTGCTTGATGAACATCTTCAGCGTTGGGTCACCTGCCTCATCCCGCTGAACGTATGATGGCATCTCCAGTTCTGGTAAGTCGTGGTCGAGAAAGTAGGTGATCTGCCTATCAATGATGTCCTGGGTCGTGCTATCGAGACTACGGCCGTCGACAGCGTTGCTGGCGTAACGCGCCCAGAGAATGACGTAGTGAATGTAGTGATCGATGAAAGGCCTGGGGTCATCACTATCATCAGGTTTGTGGAGGTTGGCCTATATAACGTGAGCGTGAGGAGGTAGGAAGAGGCGGACACGGCAATTCAGGAAGAAACTGAACACCCTGGAGGCGAAATCGACGTCAAGACACCCACCTTACATGTTTTCATCTTGATGTAGTCTTCAGACCTGTTCAGGGTGGGGAAGAGTACGAGTTGGGGCTTTACTTACCCTTTGTGACAGATCCACAGGTGCCTCGACTTGAATGTCGGTTTCGTGGATTCTATATGGTCTTCCACACGTCAACGAGATAAATCGGTCTTGGACAAAGATATTCCAGAACGTGCAGATGCGCTCATATGCTTGAACAGTCGTGATATTTGTCCACGTAGATTGCCGATGTAAGGAGGACTGGAGGGCGAGTGTTGCAGCGGCACCGATGGTGTTGTAAGCTGGACCGGGCATGTCTACGTATTGGTAGTAAATAGCCTACAATTCTTAGTCTATGTGCATCAAGCTCAGAGCTTTTGAACCCGTACCTGGAATAGAACGCAATGTATCAGCGTCAGATCGCCGCTTCCACTTAGTAGCGACCTCTTGTCGACGAGCTCGTCAGCCATCTCAAGCCAACGCCAGCCCTTAGGCTTGCCAGTGTCGATGGGTGCGACATTGAGGAGTATGTCGCAGCATGCGAAGATGGTGTAGTTCAGCGCGAGAAACTCACGATCTTCTGATGGTATGGTCGTGCTTGCTAGCATGTGTTGGCTGCGATTGCGGAACTCGGGTTCATCTATGCACGGATGAGACAGGTGAATGTCGGTGAAGAAGGAGGCTAGGTACTGTTGGTAATCGGCGGGGCTAGGAAAGGGTAGCTTCCTGTTGCCGACTTGTACGAGGTGCGATGGGTCGCCGTTGATAGGGGAGCCAGCGCCTGGGGCACCGGGTATTGCTGGGTCTGCCGACTCTTGTGAGAAGAGCGAGGGCTGTCCCATGAAGGCGAGAGCTGGGTTGATGGGGTCAAGCGGCGGGACGGACAACGCGACGTCACCTCTGAAGGCATCGCTACCGTTCTCTTCGCGCTCGACACTGCCCATTGGCGTCATGGTCAGGCCTCGGTCGCGCATGAGAGCTTCCATCATAGCCTCAATTCGGGCCATGCGCGCTTCCATGGTCATACCGCGTGTGCTGGCGTCGCTCGCCCTCCGCTCGGTGCCGTTTTCCGACGGCATCAAGCTCCTTCGTGGTACGTTGTGGCCGTTGCCGTTGGCGCTGGTATTTGAGGCTTGTGTATGGAGGGCAGGCGTGGGTCGACTGAGGTTCTGCAGGGCTTCGGCGGCCGTCTGGTCTTCAGAGAAGAAGCATCGCTTGCCGTTATCCATGCATCGCTGGCATGGGTTCTCGCCGGAACACTGTTGACGTCAGTTGTTGACTCTCGTTGTTGTTGCTGGTAGAGTTCGTAGATGCGGAAGCGACGCTGTCGCATGAGGAAGTCGCGATGCAGTCGCGAGAGAAGTGACCGAGGCAGCCAATATACAAAAGAGCGTACATACCTTGAGCTTGGATCGCCTGCATGATACACCTGCACAATCTGTCAGCCGGCTGATGGCATAACCTCGTCGTCCTGTCGCGCGAGCTGCGTCGAACCACTACGGAACCATCGGAATGCCGCATAGGAAGCTCGAGATGCGCCGAACCAGAGCGAGTGTCGCAACTTACATGCTTTGGGCGCGTACTTTTGGCGGACCTTTTTGCGCTTGGGCGACGACGACCTCCTCTCGACGTCCATGTGCTCCATGGGCGAAGGATGGCTGTTCATGGCGCGATGGAGTTGTTGGAAGAAGGATGGCGCTCAAGCAAGCTACTTCGGAACGCGACCGGGATCCGGGCTGCTAGCGCGTCTTCAGCTTCCGTCTCAGTGCAGCCAACCGCATCGCTTCCAATCCTCACTCCGCCATACACGTCGTCAAAAAAATGATCATTCAATGCGGCGAATTTGGGATACAGGAAATAACCTTGCTCAGCTGGAAGTTTTGCAGGACGTCGTCGTGGGACCCAGATGTACGGTAGGGCGCTCACAAGCCTCTGACATGTGATCCACACATCAAGTTGAGGCAGACACCTATCCCTCATTACCAACCGCATCACCACAGAGCACCTCGACATTCCATGGCCGCGACTCAGAAGAAACAAAGATGCATTGAAAATATTAAGTTACCAACTATCACGCCTATGCACTACGAGTGGCAGCGAACTGTGACACCCTCACACTCGTCTATCTCGCTCGTAGCCGTAGTTGACGTATGGATTATCTGCTTCTGGACCGCGGTAGGTCTCGAAGGATAAGGAAACAATACAATCGAGAAAGAGAACTATCAAAAAGACAAGGAAGGTAAGACTCGCTCCCGCGCTGAAAATGCATGATTGGATACGCTCGGTACCGCGTGAGAAAAAAGGCAGATATGAAAGTCCTGGCTTCGTAAGGCGTGGTGTCGTGAAGTCATGACTTCATGAGGAAGACAGCTTCCGGTACTTCTCGTCATCCTTCTAAGTGTCTCATGACAGCGAAAGAGATCAGAGTCGAGCTTCGGATCGGCATCCAGCAAGGAGACCACTTCCTTCATCTCTCGCTAACACCAATCACCCATGCATCGCCCAAATCTTCAACGCCAGCCCACAAAGCTTCCTAAGCGCCTTCGTCTCCTTAACCTCCTTATACCTCTTCGCCAGCCCATCAATCTTCCTCACACACTCCTCAATCTGCGCGCGATAATACGTCGCATCCATCGTACCCAGCACCTTATCCTCGCCATTCGCAGCATCAACAAGGCCCTTGATGCACTCGGTGACAGCGCGCCGGCGACTGTTCTTGGGCTCGGCGTGCCGGAACATGTCTTCCATTTCGGCTTGGAGGACCATGTTGTCGGTGCTGATGTACTGGAGGACCGAGGTGCGTGCGGCGCTGTCGCCGGGCTCGATGGTGATGGATGGGATTTGGGGGTTGGTGCCTTTGGAGGCGGCGTTTGAGGCGGTTGCGGCGATGAGTTTTGAGATGCCGCTTCCGGGTGGTGCGGAGGTAGTGGCGTTGGCGTGCGTGAATTGGGGGGCGTCGGGGTCGAGGCCGGAAGTGGAGGCGCGGCCACGGAAGGACCATCCTCCTGCGGGGGGTGGAACTGCGCCAGGGAGGGGTTGGTCAGACTGAGAAGCAGAGCTTGTCTGTGGGTTGACGTTTGTAGAGCCGTAGCTCTGGCGGAAGTCATTGAGCGGCTGCGGCTTGGGCGCAAGAGGGTCGACAAATACCGTCGGGCTGTTCAGGCGTCGAAGGATCTCCTCAATGCACTGAGCCATGCGCATAGTCTGTGAATCCAGGTTGTTGGACCTGCCCAGTAAGAAGTCATAGAGTCCCTGTAGACGAGCCATGGGCCATGCTTCCTTGAGCTTCTGGGCGCCATCCGGATCCAGAGGGATATCAGCGTCAAACTCTTCAAGCACACGCTTGACGGGTTCAAAGACTTGGTGGGTCAGAACTTGCACAACCTTGGCCACCTCCCACTGTTCTCCGGTTTGGAGCAGATGTTCAAGTCGGTCGATGCCTTCGAGCATGTGGCCGGTATGCCATGCTAGCACGTTGATACGACCCTTGTAGACGTCCTTGTAGTGACCAAGGAGAATCTGTGTTTTGAGTCGAGTGGCCTCTTCTTCACGGGCTAGACGTATCTGCTCGTGGTGCTGGCGCTCTACATCAGCCTTGTGAGCTTCGAACTGGTTCAGAAGGCTGATTGTGGCCATGCGCTGGTTGTGCTCGGCGATGACGGGTTCCATGGGGTTGTGACCGGAAGGAAGGATGGGCTCTTTCATCTTTTGCTCACCGAGCACGTTGGTCAGCTTCTCACGCACATACGCCCTACGCTCCTCGGAGGTCTGGTTCTCGTAGAACTCGGCGGGATGTTGTAAGTTGCTGAAAGCTTTTGGCGGCGGGAGTGCTGGCTGCGACGTCCACCGGGGACGCTTATCCTTGATACCGGTTGCGCGCCCCATGGAGTTTCGGTCGTACGGAGCACGACGCTTTTGTCGCTGTAGTTGCTGGCGCTCCCTCAACACCATTCGCTCGTTCTCTCGGAGACGCATTTCGCGCTCGCGGAACTCTTCTGCGGACTTCCGCTTCATGGCCATATCGTACCATTTAGGGTCCAGTTCTCGGGGATGGGGTTCTCGCTTGGGCTTCGCAATACGGCCTGTGGCGACGGCGTGGTAGGACTGCTGCTGCTTCGGCGATTTAGTTGGGTTGTGTTTGGTCTTAACAGTACGTTTACTGACCCTGGCCCGCGGCAGAAGTTCTGTACGCGTGTTGCTGTCGCGGACATTGTTGAGTCCTGCTGCGACGATATAGGGGGTTGGCCTCTGGAAAGATCGCTATGTCCATGGTTAGTCGTAGTCTGGATGTTGTCGGATGGGACATACAAACCTTGAATACGCGAGCATGAGTTTCGAGCTTCAGGTATACCTCTTGGTACTGGATCTGCGCCTTCTCTCTAATGACGCCTACCAGGTAGCTTGCGCCGTTCCGGATGGTCTCGCGGATGGAGGCCATGGCGGCGAAGTTGGTGGGGGTGGATGTGCTGAATGAAGTGTAGGTGGAAATGATTGAGAAAAAGCTGTGAAACTGTTGGGTAACTGCTGGGCTGTCTGGATCGGGGAAAGTAGATCAAGAAGGGAAGCCAATATACAGCGGAGGCAGTTCGTACTAGAGAGAGTTGGTATCGAGAAGGAGAAGCGTTGGTTAGAAGAGAGGAAGGCAGCCAGGTCGGTATACGCTAATGAAATCGCGCTTGACCGATGTAGGGTTCTTGGCGTCGTTGACAGAAGTGAATACTAGTGAATGGGGGAGTTATGACGAAATGATCCGTAGATACAGCCGTTAAACGCCAGTCACCGCGGCGAGAAGAGCCATTAACGTCAGACAGGCAGGAAAAATGGAGCAGGAGAGGGTTAAGAAGGCTGGGAACCTGGTCTTGTGATTCGTGATTGACCTTCTTGTGCGCGAGCATTCACTGTGGCGGAATCGGGGCCTTGTGACAGTCCTACCGGCAAAGAAACAACCGGGAGGGCAACAATGCTCCGCCATCGTGAATTCGGGGTGAGTAAAGGTGTTGGTAGACAGTGCATGCGAATATGGTGTTCAAGACAGTGTGGACTGACATGGAGGTCGTCTCCACAGGGGCATTTCGCACCACACCCATGGAGATGCAGTAACATGTCGACCCTGACATGCCTGGATTCAAGGACTTCGCACCCTACGGTAGAAAATAGAAATGAATATGAGAGCATGCCGAGTGAGGGTCATGTAGGAATGAAGCAAAGGCCAATATGCGAAGATGGGATGGTGAAGTGGATGAAGAGAGGTGTGGGCACTTGAATAGGAGTGAAAGACATTAAAAACCTTGGATTAAGTTGGGGGTAGTTGTAGAAAAGGATAGAGCTGAGTTTTTCGATACAGTAGAAGTCGAGGCAAGGACGTCGGGGACTGCACTTGCCGTTTGTGTCGAAGCGGAAGCCGCCATTGACTTTCCGCCACGTTTCTACACCACGTACTGCCCTCTTGCCCCATCTCATTTCATCACCCCTTGACAGCCTCGAAAGAAGAGGTGAACATGGTGTATCTCAACAACAGAAAGACGCAGGCAGAGGGAAGAGTGATTCCAGACGACGACCCCTTGCTCACCTGCCGCGCGTCTTCAAGTCCACGGATACGGAAGCAGCGGCACTCCAACTGTTCGAGACGCCCAGGGGCCTCTAAAACAACACACTGAGGTGAAGATGCAGCCATGAAGGCCGCAGAAGAAGCCAGACCAATGCAGGTGGGGACCCCAAAATGAAAACAGTGCCCACGACTCAGGCACCAGAAGTCTCGACCGAATCCTATTCCATGGGCAGTCAGGCGTCCGGCGTTTGCATCGTATTGCGGTACGGATCGATCGCACGTCCAGTCCTTCGAACTCGGTGTTGCACGTCAAGTGTGGCGTTCACTGAGGAAAGCCAGTCCTCTGAGGCTGACGGCAACAACAGGATAGCGCAGCTTACATACATCGCGACGCGCCTTGAATAGTAATCCACGACAACACCCACAGAACCCCCGATAGCAATCCCCCCTTTTGACGCCTCGATGACGGGACGCGCAAGCCCCAAGGATTTGGGCGAGATTTGTTCCTGCAGACAGGCGGCTTGATGTGGCTTCTGTGGCACAGGGCGGCTTGGCCGGATGCCGAAATCCGAGTTGGCGCGTGGGGTCTTGCCGCTTGCGGCTAGCCGACGGGGCGGAATCGACGTTTTCTGTCGAAACGCAGCCTTTCTGTCGAATAGCCTCGAATAGCCCCAAGGCAAACATGCCAAAGCAGGCTCAAGCCCATGCATGCCATCTCTGGGGGCCGTGCCCTCACATCATGGGCGCCGATCGCCTGGGACTTCTTGATCCTCGTAGTATCAGGTTTCTCAGGGCTGCCCAGGTGCCCGCTTGGTGTCGTGTATATCTCCCGCTGCCCTGCCTTTGTCGAAGCTGCTTTCGGGGTTTTACTGCTTACTGCTAATCACGCGTTCTTGGGGACAGGACGCTCAGTTTACCTTTCTTTTCGCGGCTACCTACATTAGTCACTCGTTATACCGAACTTTGTAATTACGCTAATATGAGGGTCTCACAACTTCCCCTCCTCGCCATCACCGTCGGCGCCAGCCTCGTGCTCGCTCAAGAACGCTGCGACGCGCCTTCGCCAGGCATATACTGCAACTCGACGGAAATTCTCGCCTACCACGCGGACGACTGCAAATCTTTCCACGTATTTGTCGCACGAGGCTCCGACGAACCCTACCCTGGCCGCCTAGGTAACCTTACCTCGAAGATCTGCGCAGCAATTGGAGGGTCATCTGAATGTGGTTACGAGGATGTCGAGTATCCTGCAAAGAGCTCAGCATGGGGAGCGACCGCGTGGTGTGAATCAGCAAGCAAGGGTGCGAAGAGCGGACAGGAACAGATGAAGGCGTACAGCGAAAAGTGCCCAGACAGCAAGTTGATCGTATTGGGCTTTTCGCAGGGTGCGTCAGTGGCACAGGACATGCTGGGTGGAGGAGGAGGCCCCGTCTTTGCGTGTGAGCAAGACATGAATCCAGCTCTGGACGCTACTTCCGCTCCTGGTTCCAATGGTATGTGCTCCCATGTGCAACTCAAGTCACGCTCTACACCGGTTTACTAACTTTGCCGCTGTAGTCGTCGCAGCAGTAACCTTTGGCGCGGTCGTCCGTTCCCGTGACCAAAACTTCACAGTCGGCCGCGGCGTAGACTACGACGGAACCAGTGCGCGCAGCCCAGAACACCTCGAAGGACTAAACGCCTACGCCGACGTCCTCCTCGACTACTGCCACTACGGCGACCCAATCTGCGCCGTTGGATCCTCGCCCCCAGACACAAACGAGCACCTGAACTATTTCTTCATGCACAACGAAGAGGTGATCAAGTGGGTATCCGGCATGGCCAAATCAGGTGGTGATGTGAGTGCGAAACCCAGCAAGCCCGTAATCAGCCAGTCTTCTTCTTCGACAAGTGTGCCTGCGAAGCCGGCCGCCACAGCATCTGGATCCGCTACCCCTTCACCTGTTGCGACGACAACTGACGATGCGACGAAGGTTGCAGAGGCTAGCGCTACGGGTGCTGCCAGCTCGCTGACTACTACCCTTGGCTATATGTCGGGGTTGGCGTTGGGTGTGGCTTTCTTTTTGTAGATCGTTTGCGTGATCTTCTTGCGTCATACCCTATATTTCATTCCGAGAGCTTGTATCGCAAGCGTCATTGTTTAGACATTTAACAGACGAGCTGAGGAGTTGAGGAAGCATACAACAAGCATATACACACGGCGTACATGGTGTCCATTACAAGTCTTCGATGGAATTTGAACATTACTCTTTCATTACTATGAAGCCATCATCATGATGCATGCAAGAGGTACTTGCGTTCTCAAGCCTTTTGCCAGTAAATGCAACAACCATCAACAAAACAAGACGCCGTCAATGCAATGCGAAACTATCTCAACAACAACAACAACAACAACAACAACTCTACAGGAGACCAATAGTCCTCTGCTTCATGGTCCTGACGTCGACATTTTGCCAGAAGCCAACACTGAAGAGAGTGATGCAGTAGACGCAGACAGCCGAGATAAGCATGTACCTCTGTGTCTGACCGTAGCTGAGGTTGATAGCATCGCGAGTCGGGCTGCCGACAGGGTAGCTGTCCTGAACGTTGAAGTCACCGTAAATAGCAGCGAAGTTGTCCATGGCGCTCTCAGGCAGGTTAGCCATCAGGCGGGCAGGGAAAACGCCGGTCCAGATAGCACCCGCAACAGTAGAGCCGATAGCGCTTCCAATCGAGATGATCATGGACTCTACGGCCAAGAGCGCAGGGAAGTCTTGTTGTTTAGAGACAGCCATCAAGGTGGTCTGCTCAGAGATAACCAAGATGCCACCACCGAAGGCAATAAAGATCATGCACATGACAATATAACCAATGTTCTCGTCCGGCTGGCGGAACTTGATCATGAGACCAACACCGAGCATAGTCAGCGGCACACCCAAGAACAGAGAGTAGATCTTGAGCTTTCCGTAGTATCGCAGTACAAGTCCGTAAACGATGGAGCAGAAGCAGCTGCCCATGGTGTAGATGTTGGCGATCCAAGTAGCGTGTACAGGGCTCTGGTCGAACAACACGACAAGAAGCGAGTAGAAGTATGAGTCCCAACAGTACCAGCCGATGTACAAAGAGCCGGCCATGGTGTAGGTGAAGATGACAGTTCGGTTCTTGAGCAGCGGCCATGGGATGAAGGTGACGGGTGCGCCGTACTTCTCCCACAGGCCGAATGCGACGACGAGGAGGGCGCCGAATACGAGGAAGCAGATGATCAGAGGAGATGCCCATTGCTTGGCCTGGTAGGAGTAGATGTTGAAGGCGAGGAGGAAGAGGGAGAGTCCAGCGGCGAGGAGCAGAAGACCGACGGCATCGAATTCGCGGAGGTAGTACTTCAGCGTTTGAGCAAAGTTACCGCGGCTGGGGCGGGCCGTGATGAGACCCTCTTTCTTCGCCTTGCCCTCGTAGATGATGAACAGAAGCATGAGCGGTGAGGTGACAATAGGCGCGATGATGGCGAAGATACCGAAAGTCCATCGCCAGCCAATGCCACCAGGGGCTGTGATGCTGTTGATGCCGTATCCGTAAATCCAGGTGGTGATGAGCCATGGAGAAGAAGCATATCCGATGAACAGGGCTCGGTTCCTCAACTTGGAAGTATCGGCGATGAAGACCGTGATGAAGAAGTCGATACTGTTGGAACCGACGTAGAAGAAGGTCTGCGCGGCGCAGTAGGCCTTGACGTTGTTGCAGCTCGCCATCAGGATGAGACCAAGGACGTAGATGGCTACACCTAGGCCGAGACCGAAAGGTCGGCCCCAGATGTTAAGGATCTTCGCATACGGGAGCTTCCAGATACCGCCGACGATGGAGGAGATGACGCTGGTCAGGGCGGTTAAGGAGTGCAGCTGGAAGTCACTGGTGACGTAGGGCGCGAGGGTGCTTGAGGTGCTGGATGCGTAGGCAGTGAAGAACTGGATGAACCACATGCTGTTGTCGTTAGTGTAGTTCTGGAGCGGTATGGAGGGAGTGATTTACGCAATGTACGCGAGGATCAGATCTCGCTTCTTCCATAGGAGCGAGGCAGCTTGCACATGCTGGACACCTGCCTCCGCGGTAGTGTCGACTTTGTTCAGTTCCTCATCCGATTCTCGACTCCTGGCCGACTCCCTCGGGCTGCCGACCTTCTCGTCAGGACGAGCAGCATCCATGCTGGTGTGGCCCTGGTAGGAAGCAGGCACGTCGGCAATGTCTTTCTCATTAGCATCGGCATTCTTGGTGTTGCTAGAGACCAATGCGCTGGTAGTCAATCCCTTGAAGGTGAAACCCATCTTAGCGGTAGGTGTAGAAGCACACCAAAAGAGAGGCTGTGATGGAAACGAGACGAAGAGATTGATAAGACAAGGTACCGCGTGAGCCTCAGGTTCATATACCGAAAACGCAGATCCACGCAGTTCCACCGCAGGCCCTTTCCGAGACGCGCCCGGTTACCGGCTCCTCGTCGCTGGGTGGGGAATTCCGTTCACGTTCACCATGAACAGGGAAATAGTCGTGAATATCACGCGCTCGCCCCCTGTTAGCATCATGTACCAAAGCTTGACTTTCCTGAATGCAGTTGGTTCCCCGGAATTAAGCCTCCCCAAGCACGGCCCAGACAGCCTCCAAAATCTTATCTCGATAATCAGCCGGCATCTCGGACCAATAGGAGCGAGCGGTGGCGTGACGCGTGGGTTATCAGATGAAAATTTTCGATCTAATCATTATCTGATCAAAACCCACAAGCCACGACGCCTGCCTGTACCACTCCACTGCTTGCCCTCTGCTCCGTCATGCCTTCGTAAAGCGGGGGTACCGAGGGAGATGATGCTACTTAGTCTGCGACTACGGACCTGCCGATGGTGCTCCCAATACTCGATAGCCGCCGGGCATGCGGTGGAGCTGGCTCGGGGTTTCTGCAGAATTTGCCTCATAGCTCGTACCGTGGTGGCGGCCTCAAAGATAGGAAAGAACCAAAGTGGAGGGAAGGAGCGGAAGAAAAGGTACAAACGGGTCACATCGAATTCGAGAAGCTTTTGCTTGCAGGCATATCGTTCCTACAGTCGCCTGCGTCCAATCGCATCCCATCGTCGTTGCTGCTATGAACGAAATCAAGGGTCTGGCAGGTTGGCGTAGGTGGGTTTGACGGTTGGGGTGCTCGTGCGAAAGACGTGCTAACGGCGGCTAATCCTTCATCCTCGGGTCCCGACAGCAGGAAAGGCTTTCTTGAGCGCAGATCCACCCATCCACCAACCTGGAAACCGAACGTGATGCTTTCCGTGTGATGCCGGGAAGCAGGAAGAGGAGGGCAATGGCGCGATCAGTTGTTGGGAGGTACGACTGCGAGTTCGATGCGCACGAGTCATGTCAGCGGCCGACAATCGGACATGCGCGCGTCACATACCTGTCAGCTGCATCACGTTGCGTACATCTCTGCGTCGACCTGCACACAACACAGCATGCTTCTCGTACGCCACAGCCAGGTGTCGCCAAACCCCGTTTCATTTGATCAAATATGCAGATCCGAAATCAGCTCATACTAAATCCGCTGAGTCTATGGTGACTGCACAGGGCCACTCCTCCAGCCTCTCTAATCTGATCGCATACGCCCCACGTTCCGTTAACTTTCCTTGTTTATCCTCTTCATCTGGATCAGTATTTGTGGCATCCTAGTGGATAAGAGAGTCTGCTAAACTCAGCCCCTTCTCACGCCTCTTGGCCAGCGTCTGTCTCGTTACTTCAAAGAAAGCATCGCGGAAGTCGTGACAACTGCCGATGGTCTGTGACCAGCCTTGAGTGGGACTGTGGTCAATGATCCTGTCGTCACCCCAATTGCGAACGATGATATCTTGGATCATTTGCTGTGGCTTCGAGATCGCGCCCGACAAGTGTTCCTTGCGAAAGGAGACCGTGTGTGTGAATAACGTTGACGCCAGTGGCTGGGAGAGCGGTCGGCCGAAGGCTTCGAGGAGACGCTTTATGGCGTAATTCTGGAAATTTTTCGCGCGTAAGCTGGCGCCTAGTTCCCAGCATGCGATGGCTGCCTTGATGCCCCAATCCAGTGGGTTTTCGGGTCCAAGGCCGCGGTGTGGAAGAGTAACGATTTGCAAGTCCTTGAAATCAAAGCCTTGTACCAGGCCTTGTTCCTCGCGATATTCCTGAGTGTACAACCACTGGACGAACAAGTCGAATACCTCGGGGTCATGTTCAGGACCGACATAGTAATCATAGATCAGCCCTTCCTCCCACTGAATGCCCTCGCACTCTGTTTCCATCAATGTTTTGTGAATTGACCATGATGTGTCCTTGTGAAAGCATTGGTGTCCGATAGTACTGATTCTTCCATCGCGCATACTACAACAGGTTAGCGGCCGCTATGAGCTGCTTTTGTTCCTCGGGCGGGAGCTTACCTTCTTGCGAATCTCTCGCTGTAAGCGCGATCCTCCAGCATCGCGGGAGCCCCGGCTCCAGTCGTCATTTCTTTTTGGGGACACTGATGAATTATGTCGATCGCGGGAGGTTCAGAGGAAGCGGAAGAACAGTCGAGACGTCCTGCTGCTATGAGGCGGCGCCAAGGCAGAAAGTGAGTTGCGAGGTGAGAGAGGGCCGCACGCTCACCTCCTCATTCACCGAGAGAATCTTCGGTCACCAATCATCGATAAAACCAAGAGCGCGCCTAAGAGCTTCGGCTTCAGATGACGATAGGGAGAGGGTCAGTTCGGGCTACACGTTCGTATGATAAAGGAAAGCGAATCTTGCGTACGATTCCGGGCGCCCGTTCATGCGTCAAGACGAACTCTAGTAACGCGATCATCAACTTCGCAATAGCTACAATACTATAAGCTCCCATAGAGATGAAGTCCGCAGCGTTCATATGTCTGAAATTGTGATGTTCGGACAAAAAGGCGAAACGCATCAAAATTGGTTGCCATGAATCGCCACAAACCGGACGTCTTCTGCAGCAACCGAAAGCTGTAACATTTTTCAACAGAGCACTTGTAGGCTGAGAATGCAGTACAATCCCTTGTTGGCAGACGTGTAAGGCTGTTGGACGCCTTCCAGGTGAACAGGTGAACACCTACCTGCAGGAAAAGGCAAGAGCAAATAATTTAGCTTTCTATATCACGTTATGAATCAACTAAATTCTGTCCTAACGCCAATGTAGACCATAAAGTGTTTCGGTTCTCCCCAAATGTAGTGGAAGAGAAGTCTAAAATTTGAGCGAGTACCTTGGATGGACTTAGGGCCACGCGCAGTACATGCATCTCGCCATCACTTCGTCTCACAAAGCTGCGCTTTGTGCGGCATCCGCAGAGAGTGCTATAAGACGTTAGCTTTCTTAGCAACCCAATGGCTCCTTGAACCGTCATTAGAATGTTTATGACCTCGCCACTATGTTGACGTTCCAGATCCTCGATTCTCCCTCGACACTTGGCCATAACCCGCGCAAAACTTCTTTATTCGAAAAGGCCCTTGACTGCAATTTGACAGCTTGTCACTCGCCGCCCGGCGTTCGCTTTCTTGACACTACGCCCAATTCAAGCCCTCAATCGATACTTGGCCCATAGCCACAACTTGCGCAAAAGAACGCTCTTGGATATTCTATCCACACTACTGTGGAGTATCTGGGCACAGTTGGGCCGCTAGACCCCACCCTTCCCTGTGACACGGTCTCAGCGGGCGGGACGCATAAAGTGCTCAAGGAAAGGATCACTGGTCGAGACCTGCAGAAGTAGTTTATTGCGGTATCAATAGTAGGGCCGAGAAGGCCTTGTATTTGGTTGCCACCATGGTTGTCATCCGGAAATGCGGGCGCTCCATCCCACGAAATCACACACGTGGATCATCTATACGGAGGATCTCCGATTGGTCGGATCTGTTATACATGGTCGCCCTGCAGCTGTTGCACTGGCAGGTGCGCTCTACACATCTCCGCGGCAAGAGCGATGTACGTGCCCTAGCGAATTTCGACGAGCTGTTGGGACATGTAACATCAAATCTTCAATTCGAAGAAAATGCTCACGCTCTTGGAAGAAAAAGGTTTAGAAGCAAGAAGAATTCATTCGCAATATCGCAATCATAGGGTATCTAATCGTCAAAGTTCGCCGCAACCAGCTCATGCTCCCCTCTACGCACAGCAACCTGTCGGCCCTGCCGCTTCGATAGAAGAGCGTCTTGTGTCCTTCTCATCGACCTGACCATATGGTATCCTGACCACCATCCAGTCGCACAGGAACTTGCCCAACACAGCACCCAGTATGATGGAGATGAAGATGTATCCGTTGAAGTGCATGACCAACAACATGATGATGTACGCAAGACCGAGAGTCAAGCCATGAATAGAAGCGCGAACAAGTTGTTGAAGTGCTGTAGCGCGGAAGGTAGCGTGTTGGAGACCGAGAGTCGAGGTGGGCCCGTCGCAGCAGTTGGTGGGTGTCGCAGCAGCTAGAGCCGCCCGTTGTGCGTTGAGTTGGCGCTGGAATTGACGGAGGAGTAAGGCATCATATTCGTGGCTGACTCTTCGCAGGAACTCGAGGCAGACGACTAAGAGAGCGGCGCCGATGCAGCTTGCGGCCATCATGCCGTTGTTGGTCACGTGCCATGATTCGGAGAGGAAGCAGGCATCTTCGACACGCCAATTCCACAGCATCTAGCGAGTATTAGTTATGATATCATATCGGTAAGAAATGGACTGCAAACCTCTGTCACGCAAGTGCTGTTGGGCTCCATGCCCGCCATTCCTGTCATTCCGTGCATGATGGCGATGGTGTTCTTAGGATGTGGAGTTTGGTTGGACAGTTATTGCGAAACGTGGAAGAGAACTGTCAAAATGATATAGCAGACGTCGGACCAGACCCTGCGACTGCAGATGCGACGCCATGATATGTAGGGACGAGATGCCGTCTCACAACAGTCTGGCCCGAGCAAGCAAGCCGGCAATCGCGCCGCGAATTATGGGGGAACTTGCTCAAACACACTCGCACTAGCCACTTTGATCGCCCCAAGAGAGCGGGAACCGCCCAAAGACCCGCCTAAGCGTCGCCGCCCACTTCTCGAAGCCTTGGCCCGTGTTTTTACGAAACGTGCTCACCACGTTTCCGGTGTGCAATACTCCGCCGGCGATAGGTCATATAGATATGCGGCGCACTCCACCTCGAGACATGCAGCACGCATCGCCTCTTCAATTCTTGCCTTGACCATGGCCGCTGACATGCTCGTCGCGCGTGCGCACATCCAGAACTACTCCGAGGCGAGCGCTGTCGAGCCGCATTGGGGCTACGCAGATCGCCTCGTACCCTGCACCAGCGACCCTGGCTCCTGCGAGTACCTCGACGTTGTCTATCGCAGTCATGACCTTGGCATGTACTACAGCGGCATCATATGGGCCACAATTGGCGCCATTCTGTTGGTGTGGGCTGTTGGCCGACACTTTGCGCGCTCACAACCATCCGGCGTGCAACTACCAAAAGAAGTAGGAGAAGGAATACCGCAGAGACGCAGCGCATTCGAAAGACTTCAACGGGCGATTCCATCATACGCACGACGATATCTTCTTCCTGATGCCGCGCGACCAATCTTCGGACGCGTGACCCGCACCCAGGTCTTGACCCTAATCGTCTTGACGGCTTACCTGACCGTATTCACCTTCATCGGCATCGTCTACAAGAAATGGGTTACGCCCGTCAAGAAGCTACCCGGCGTCTACAACACCCGTACCAGTCTCGGACCATGGTCTGACCGTATCGGTGTCATCGCATACGCCCTCACACCTCTCTCCGTTATGCTCTCGACACGCGAGTCCATCTTGTCGCTCGTCACTGGCCTGCCATACCAGAGCTTCAACTTCCTCCATCGCTGGTTGGGATACATCATCTTCGCCCAGTCCGCCCTTCACACCATCGGCTGGTGCGTCATCGAGATCCGTCTCTATCAGCCCCAGCCAACCGTCGCCGCGGAATGGATCGTGCAGGAGTACATGATCTGGGGGGTAGTCGCAATGCTTCTCCTGACTCTTCTTGTTCTGCTCTCGACTCCCTGGGGTATCCGTCTCACCGGCTACGAATTCTTCCGCAAGGCCCACTACGTCCTCGCAATGGTGTACATTGGAGCCTGCTGGGGACACTGGGCGCAGCTCAAGGTCTTCCTCCTCCCTGGACTTCTGGTCTGGTTCATCGACCGCGCTATCCGGCTTGCTAGATCAGCTCTGCTCCACTACAACTTCCTGCCCTCCAGACACATGGGCTTCCGTGCCGCTTCTGCAAACATTGCGCTTTTCAAGGACGAGGTCAACGGCGACGTTGTGCGTCTGGATTTCGACCACGCTCAAGATGCCTGGGCAGTCGGTCAGCACTTCTACCTCACATTCCCGGATAGCTCCATCTGGCAGTCCCACCCGTTTACACCAATTAGCCGCCCGGTTTACGGTGCTGACTCCCAGCGCCACTCGTATATTTTCCGCGCAAGGGGCGGAGAGACGAAGAAGATTGCCGACCTGTCCATGAAGCGCATTGCGAACATGTCAAGCCACCAAGAATCGCACGAGAGCCTAATGGCTGATGCCCGCCTCTCTGTCGTCATGACCGGACCTTACGGCGAGCGCACCATGCGTGGGCTCGCTGCCAACTCCAACATCCTCTGCATAGCTGGCGGCACCGGAATCGCTTACGTCCTTCCCGTACTCCTTGACCTCGCTTCCAGCCCACAGTCGCCCGACCGCCACATGACGCTCATCTGGAGCATACGCCGAAGGAGCGACATCGACTGGGTCGGCCCCGAACTCGCTACCCTCAAGCGCAAGTGCCGGAACCTACGAACCGGAATTCACATCTACGTCACCCGCGCCGCAGAAGAAGCCAACCTCGACCTCACAGTCTCCGAAAAGGCCGCGCCCAACGAGTGCTCCAAGGAGATCAACTCCGCCTCTGACTCTTCATCTGCCGACGCATCCTCTGCACTATCAGTTCATGGTGTCGCAAAGTCGGAGTTGGGCCTCAACCACATCCAAGCCAGGCCTGACCTAGATACCCTAGTGTCAGAGTTCGTTGTTGGTACTGTACGAGGAGGCACCGAGGTGTTCGCTTCGGGACCCGGTGGTATGATTAGCGATCTTAGGCGGATAGTCGCCAAGAACAACAAGGGTGGTGAGGTGTGGAAGGGAGACGATAGGTGGGATGTACGGTTGACGTGTGATGATCGATTAGAGTGGTAGTTTGCTTGACCTAGATACCCCGATTGCATTGCTTTCATGTTCAACATGTCTTCCTCTCGGGTGATGTTGTGACCTCTATTGTGCAACTTCAGCTGCGTCCTGACAAATTGCATGATGCGTAATATCAGTTGGAGAGTCGGCAGAAACTGATGGATTTCGGCGTTCCGGCTACCTGCTGACTAAAAAGGTGCGCTAGCGCCCGTTGTGACGTTTGCAGGTGTCCAGCCTGTCGCTCCAGACAGTGGCGTCTCCTTTTGTTACACAGACATTCTCATGTTACACAAGCATCTCAGCAAGCACCAAGTAACGCGCAATCCTCAGAGACCGAGGGATTATTAGAGTGGCGCCAGCCCGCTGCGAACTACACGGCGATAGGCCTTATCTCCGGACCCCACATCGTCACCACTTGGACCCTTGATCTGTCTCCGCTTTCCATCTTCGTTACCAACTGCTTTGAGCAATCTTACTCCGCGAGAGCAGTCATGATCGAACTCCTGGATCTCTGTTATGATGTTCTGATCGGGATTCTGGAAGAGATTGACCCCCATGATCTCGCGGCATGTGCGCAAACGTCCAGAGGCTTCAACCAATTCATCAAGGAGAACAAGCGACTTTACAAAACCCTGTACTTGAAGCACTTCGTATGAGATATCCTTTGCTCGCCCATGTATCATGGAGTCTAATAATGTGGCAGGACGACCCTCGACGCCGAAGACCGGCCGGTCCTGAGCCAGAATGGACTGGAGCGTTGCAGAGGGTGGTGAGATGTCAAAAGATCCTCGATTCTGCCAACAATGACCTCAAGGTATGTTTCCAGTTGTAACCAGCAGCTGAATTTGCTAAGAAGTATTAGAGAGAAGAGTTCACATTCGTCGCAACGTGCGTCGACGAGCTTATCGCTACGATGTCACTAGATGAAGATGGCGTGACTCACAATAAACGATTAGTGACCGACCAGTTCCAGCGTATCGCACAGAATCACGACGCTTTCATGTGCCGATCTTCCCTGTTCGACCGTGCCGGCACAGGAAAGCAGAGACCGGCCGGGGATGAAGAGAGTCGACAGCTGAGCGCAAAGTTGCACAGTCTATTCGGCTTCCCGCCATCCAACGCTGGAAGAAGAGATCTCTCAACAAACCCGTATGCCAGATCGCGTGTATACGACCTACGAAACTACACCGATAATAACGAGTGGGGTCCTTTCCGTGACGATGGCACCATGCGAGTGGATTGGGAGATGATCGAAAGCATTATGATTGTCATCGGCTATAACTCTTGCTACTGCACCCATACAGTATCGAATAAACTCCGGCCACCATGGTTCGCTCCACTTGATGGCGTGATCCCGGAAGACGCTCATCAGATGGGCGCCGCACGGAACTGTACAGCGTTGGTACAGCAACCGGACATTTCCCTCAACATGAAGGATCCATACGGAGTGGAAGGTATCTGGTCACGTGTAAGTCCTTGTTAGCCCGTTCTCTCAAACTCTCTCTAACGACATCTAGATTGTATGTTTCCTCGACTACAACGATCTGTACCACTACAACTTCAGTACCGAGGCCATGAAAGTTCCTTCCGACGAGCCTAGAGATGCGTTGAACACCGACGAAGCCATCAGACACATCATTATGGACTTGCGCATCACAGACGTCACAGCACCAGGGCCTTTCGACAACTCGAAACTACCTATCGTGAATTTCAGAGGAAAATCGAAGTCCGTAGATGCGCGATGGGATCCGAACGCTAACTCTGGTATTCGTGGTACTGTCAGTCTGACAGCGGAAGGAGAGGTTCGCTGGCAGACTATCTCGGTATTCCAAGGGTAAGTAGAAAGAAATATGCTGATGTATTGGGCAGAGTATTACTGACTTTGCGACAGCGGTGAGGAGCGATGGCGCAGCGATGGCATACAAGTTGGTGGGTTGCGCTGCCCCCGCGGTGTTGTGGGAACGTGGTTTGACAAGGACTTTGATGCGTAAGCAGTACTCATGTACAAACTGCTGTTAGATATGCGCTAACTTCGTACACGATTTAGTCATGGCCCAGCTGGACCGACAGCTTTCTGGAAAGTCAGTGAGAGACCTGTTGATTCTGCAGATGAAGACAGTGATTCCGAAGACAGCTTTTGGGATGCATCATGAGGGACTAGCTGAACTGAAGTACAATGGACCAGATCATAGCTTTCACATCTCAACATATCTCCACCTCAGCGTTGTTGCAAAACCATCCACATGCACTTCTTTCGTCTCCCCGGGTACTAGGTCAAACCCGTTATCACTAAGACGGCGTTCAGTGTCCTCCTCGAATACAAAGCCCTTGACTGGCTTCGCTGAAGAAACGAACACTGTCTTCTTATCTTCCGAGTAGCGCACATGTACGCCTGGATTATCGAAAGTGAGATATTTGATCGGCTCAGGCCAGGACACGTCGCCTGCGAGAAGCTGACCACCCTTGTATAATGACACTTGGATGACGAAAGGGTCGGCTCTTGATGTACGATAGGGACCACCTGGCTCTTGTGGGTCATCCACGTTGACGACTTGGCCAGTAAGTATTTCGGTTGTTCCATTCGCCGCAATGCGTATCTTCTTGCGCTCTTCAGTGCTGATGTCCTTTCCTGTGCCGATTGAGATGTAGCGTATCGCAACATCCACTTCGGCTTCCATCAGCGTTCCATTAGAGACCCAGAGATCGTATGCGACGTTCTGCCACAGCTTTTGCATGTCAATATGTCCGGTGTCGCGCTGCCACAGACCATCGGTCAGCCGCATAGTCCAACTCTTGTACTTGCGCTGTACACCAACGGTGATGGGCTGCATGGCGCGCTTGATAGCATAGTACGCTGGCTTCGGCACCTTATAGTAATCTACTACAGCCCATGACATCGTCGGCCAACAGTCGTTGAGCTGCCACACCAATGCACCACCACATTTGCGATCATCGGATGACCCCCATTGGCGGCGCCAGGACTTGTAAGCCCACGACATCGCATCTGCTTGCATGACCTGGGTGAGATGCGTATAGCCTTTCAGCAGGTACTGAACCCGGAAGTTCTCAGACACGTAGCTGATGAGACGTCGCTCATGACCAATGGCTTTATTGCGGAAGTCCATGGCCATCGAGCCAGGATGGAGGTCGTTCGGGTGATTGATGCACATCTCGAGTGTGGAAACATGAGGATATGCTTCCATGCCAAACTCGGATACGAAGCGGCCACCCATCTGTGGCAGTCGTTGGTAAGGCTCCATGGTACCGTGCCACATGTTCCACTGGTGGACATCGCCGATTGTAGGATCCACTCCTAGGACCGTCGACTTGCCATCACCGAAGGGTGAGCTGGGGTGGTAGGGTATATCTGTACATTCTTCTGCAACTACCTTTGGCAGAAGATGCTCGTAGATGTAGCGGGCTGGGAAGTCGGTCTTGAGCCAGGATTCCGGATCTTTGTCGTCAGGGTCATATTGTAGTTTGTATCGCTCGACGATCTGGTAGTCCTCGTTGTTCCCTGCCCACACCACTAGGCTGGGGTGGTTTCTCAGTCGTCTAACATTCTGTCTTGCTTCGATCTCCACACTTTTCAAGTACTCGGGGTAGGTTGGGTAGTTGGCACATGCGAACATGAAGTCTTGCCATATCAACACGCCAAATTCATCCGCGGCATCGTATAGCGCATCCGCTTCGTAGATACCGCCTCCCCACATTCTCAGCATGGTTTGATTACCGTCGGCTGCGAGCTTCACCCACTCGCGGTAGTCGTTTGGTTTCAGACGTGTAAGAAAAGAGTCAGCAGGTATCCAACACGAGCCTCCGCAAAAGATGTCTACATCGTTAATGCGGAAGTAGAAAGAAGTGCCGTGTGCGTCTGGCTCTTTGATCAGCTCGGTGTGGCGGAAGCCAAACTGCTGGGATATGAGGTGGATGGGATTCGGGACGCCCCGCACAATGGCCTCCGCTCTAATGGTGTAAAGACTTTGTTGCCCATAGCTTCGCGGCCACCAGAGCTCGATATCATCAATGGTGATGGTAGTTTCCAGGGGACTCTTGCGATCACCGATGGTAGTGCGACCACCGACGTCAATGTCTTCTCCGTCCTTCGAGATCATGAAAAGTATACCCGTGGTCTTACCCTCCCATTCGACACTCATCTTCAATTTTGCAGACTTCAGACCTTGCGACAGTTCGTACTGCACATTGAGGGCTGATAGGCGGCATTCCCACGTCTCAATCGATACTGGCTTCCAAGGTCCACATGTCATTAGGATAGGTCCCCAATCCCAACCCCAGTGGTACTGGGCTTTGCGAACAGGTCCTCGCGAGATCTCTGTCTGGTGTACGATGAAGCGATGTTCTGGATGCTGTTCCACCAACTTGAGACCCTTCTTGCGCGCTGACTCGAAGACGATTTCCAGTACGTTCTCCTCTAGCTGGAGCTTGCCCAATACATCGACCTGATGCTCGATGAACATGTTGTCAGACTCCAAAATCATCTCGTCGTTCAGGTAAACGGAAGCAAAGGTGTCGAGACCTTCGAACCGAAGAGTGGTGGCCGCGTTCGCCTTTCCATAGTCGGAAGGCGCAGCGAAGGTCGTGCGGTATGTCCATGTCTCATCTCCAACCCAGCGCACTGCTAGCTCATTGAGGTCATGAAAGGGGTCTGGGATTTTGTCGTGTTTGAGCAAGTCGCGATAGACTTCAGTTGGGGCATCGCAGGCTGGTAGATACTCGTTGGTAGAGGAGCGACCGCCCTGCTTGAACGTCCAACCCGTCGTTAGCGGCGATGAGGTATACGGAACAGGCGTCATCTTGTCCGTTAGTTGTAGACTAGCGATGAGCCTGACCGATGTGACAGCTAAATGATGGACGTTCGGTGGTTGTTCACCCGCGGGTAAACACATGCGGGGTACCTGCCCCTCAAGATGCTTGGGTGAAACGCTGATCAATGACTACGGAGCTTTCTTCGTCCAGCACAAGCGTAGGCACAACCATACTTACGGATGTACATCGGAGGTTGATGTATCCGACCGCGACGATGCGCCTGCGTTACATCCTCTCGCATCCACATCTTCCACAGACTCGCAGCGTTAGGTGGAAAGTACAGAGTTGGGTAAAAAGTACGAAGTTAGGTATAAAGTACAGGGTTAGGTAAAAACGAAAGGGTTGGGTAAAAACCACAGAGTTGGGTCAAAACGGCAGACTTGGGTAAAAACTACAGAGCTGGGTAAAAAGTGTAGTTAATCCTTAGGTAAATAGTGTGTGCTTTGTACCTAGGAAGAAAGCATAACATATACCCAAGTAGAAAGCACACCTTAATAGTTTATACCTAGGTAAAAAGCGCAGTTTATACCTAAGTAGAAAACGTAGTTTATACCTAAGTACAAAGCATAGTTTATACCTAAGTGGAAATCATAGTTTATACTTAAGTAGAAAGCATGTAGATTATACCTAGGTAAAAATCACATGGATTCTACCAAAACAAAAAGTATTTACCCAAGCGGAAACTCTAAGCGCTGTTCAGGATCTGGAAGCCTACAAGATCCGGCCCAAAACTGTCTCCGTACCCTCGGAACTCAATCATGTTCTCTGTACCTTCCACAAAGCCGTCGAGCTCTATCTGCAGTCGTAGACTCTCCTCCCAATCGCCACCAGAGAGAGGGAAGGCCCATCGCTTCGCCTCAGCACCATTGACTGCGATGGTCATGTTACGTGTGTTGTCGCCCCATTCCCATGCAGTGGTAAATGCATAGTGGTAGTTGACGAAGTCGATACCCATGAGGTTCTTGCCAGTGGACTGAGAGCTGACGTTGGCAAACATGACGCTGCTGGCGCGGCCGATGTACTCAATCTTCGAGCCAGTGGGAAGGCATGCACCGGACGCGCAGGAGAAGTTGTGTGCTGGTCCGGAAAGCGACGCATTAGCAACGGAATGGTACGAGCCGGAGGTGAGAGGGGCGGCTGCGACGATGTTGGATAGAACCCATAGTCGCAGCTCATGTCCGGCCAAGTCAGCCGTCTGGGCACCAGACCAAGTACCAAGATCTTTCGCAGCCCAGACATCGCGCGCATCAGCCGAAGCTATGCCCAGTGTTGCCAGATCAAAGTCTACGGCTTGGGAGTCGTTCTTCCAATTCGCGACTCCCAACACCTGCTTAGATCCCGAGAGTTTTCCCATCCAGATATCCCACTCGTTCTCAGTATCGCGACGGACCAACATGGCTTGCTGAGCAAGTGGGTCTTGATTGATGGCAATGACTTCCTTGTTCGAGAGGATGTCTAACGAGCTCTGACTAATACGTTCGGGATCGAGGGCGGCGCCGATGATGAGAGGAGACTTGTTGATAGCCCACATGCCAAAGTGGAAGCGCTCTTCCTCTTCAGAAAGGGCATTCAGGCCCACGCTAGACTTGTCAGTTGACGACTCCAGATACAGCTCATTCTACTTACGTCAGCATGTCCATGTCTGCAAATGCACCAGCAGTGGTATGCCTGAAGTATGGGACGACCTGATTGGTGATCCGCCAGATGCTGCGCCAGCCATTGTAGATGTCGTTGCTGATTCGCCAGGTGTTGCCAACCTCAGCAGCCCAGTCACCGACGTCAGTGCCAATTCCCCACTGGCAGACGTAGTAGTGTATGTCGCGGTCTACCGCATCTAATTCGGCCGCCATGTGTTGGAAACGTGCTGGTGATTGAGCTTCTGCGGAGCTAGAGTCGACCATCGTGGTGTTGGAAGTAGAGTAGCAGTTGTCGTACCTGCATAACGTTAGCAAGAGCGAAAGCGTATTGAGGAGGCTTGTGATCATACTTAAGGCTATCTCCGCCCCACTCAGCGAAACTCTCCGCATCTAGTTGTTCGTACCCCAGACTCGCAGGTAACGATTCTGACCCGCACTGTAGATACCCAGCGCCAGAGTAAAGACCAAAGTCCAGACCCAGGTCATGGAGATAATCTCCGAGTGCCTTGCCACCAGATGGGAAGAGGGTCTCATTCCATTGAAGTCTCCCCTCTTCATCTCGATCATGGGCGTTCCAGCCGCAGTCGACTGTCACGAAATTGTAGCCAGCGTTGCTAAGACCGAGGTCGATGAGGCCATGAGCACTCTCGTGAATCTTGTCCTCAGAGGGCAAGCAGTTCCAGGTGTTGTACGAGTTCCATCCCATAGGAGGTGTGGGTGATTTGACTGTTTTGGCTGCTGCTTGTAGGGCAAGGCATGCCGAGAGCAAGATTGTGGTAGCCATTGCGATGCGAGCTTGATGGTGAGAACTGCCAGTCTGCGCACTCGTTTTCAATCGCCCATCACGAGCTTATAATATCCGGTGGTCGCTGTGCTGCATACTGGATGACCTCACAGCAGGCAGCGTTTCCTGGCTACGGGCGCGGGCGACGGAGGAATTGGTCGCGATGCATCATGTTGCACGTCTTGGCCTGCACCGTTTGACATAGCGCACCAGCTCAAGGGAGTGATCGACAGCTGTACGAGATGCGTGTACAGGGATAGTGTGTTTGTATTCTGGGGTTGGGGTGAGGAGAAGGTGGAGGTTTGCCGGCGGACGCGTGACGAGCGATGGCCGCGAGCCGGAAGGCGCCAGTCGGAAGCCTTACCCCGCCAGACTTCGCGCGACCAGCCTCGCCCAAGCACCAGCTCGGCGTCATGTCCGGAGAGATTACTGCCTCACCCCCAACGCGACTCGGCGATGCGGAACTGGGTAAAGATGCTGAAGAATCCAGGTGCGACGACGCGCCTGCACCAAGCCCGCTCGAATATACATCCTTCACGCAGTCGCAGCGGCGGCGACTACGGCCGCTTCTTGGGTTGGCAGCTATCACGTCACCCTTGACCGCGACCATCTACTTCCCCCTTCTTCCCCTGCTGCGCACACAGTTCAGTACTACAGCGCAGGCTATCAATCTTACAATAACCCTCTACATCATCTTCCAAGCCATTTCACCCGTCATATTCGGACCACTGTCTGATGTTCATGGCCAGCGACCCTACTTCCTGGCCACTCTGGCCCTGTACGTCATCGGTAACTTAGGACTAGCTCTTAACAAGCGCAACTATGCTATTCTCTTAGTGCTGCGCGCGATACAGAGTCTCGGGGCCAGTGCAGCGTATGCCATCAGCTTTGGTGTCGTTGCAGACGTCTGCGTGGCTAGCGAACGAGGACAGATGCTAGGCCCAATCAGCATGGCCATGAATCTGGGCACTTGTGTAGGTCCAGTCGTAGGAGGCGTCGTGGCACACACAAGTGGAAACATCAATTGGGTATTCTGGGCCCTGTTCATTGTCGGCGTAGTCTTGCTGGTCGGCGTAGGCGCGCTCCTCCCCGAGACGGCCCGCAACATGGTCGACAATGGCAGTGACAAGTCTAGATACCAGTGGTGGCAGTACAGCTGGGTAGGCCTCTTACGAGAGCGGATGAAGGTCAAAGCAGCAAAGAGACTGAATGAAGACGGTGCGACTGCAATTTCATCGGCGGCAGCCCCATGCCAGACGACTAAGCGGAAGTACGGACTATCTAACTTGCTCGCCTGCTTTCGCATCATCTTCTATAGGGACACGTTCCTCACCTTATGGGTTCACGGATCGTTCTACACAGTGGACCATCGACAAGGTATATGGTGATGACCTCCTGAAGTTTCCAATCGAGCGTGCAAGGACAAGATACTGCTACGCCATGCTAATGATATCGACAGCGACCATGATCGGCTATGGATGGACTGTCCAATATCACGCTCACCCGGCTATACCATTGATCCTACAGTTTTTGCAAGGTTTCTGGGGTTGCTACGGCTACACGACGTTCAGCACCTTGCTAGTGGATTCTTTCCCTCAAAGTCCAAGCACCGCCGCAGCTGCTACGAGCATCACACGCTGCGCCATGGCCGCGACAGGAGTTGCGGTCTTAGAACCATTGCTGAACGCAGCTGGTATAGGATGGTACTTTACGGCTCTAGGCCTGTGGAGTGGCATCCTGTCGGCCTTGTGCGTCGCCCTGCTACAATGGAAGGGCATGTATTGGAGACAAATACGGAACATTCGCGTAAATCAGAAGTGATCACTGGTCTCTGGACCGATTGCAACCATGGAGACCAAGGCTGGAAACTGAAGCATCACTGATAAGCTTCCCAATGATTTTGTATGAGAGCAGATCATAATACAATGTCTATATGCTAGCATCCAAAGCACTTACCCCAAGCGGTTCGCCCTACACAGTATGATCCCGCTCAGATGACAGCAAAGCCATCTCAGCCTTATGTAGTGTTGGAGGTCTCTCGCCTTCTGGAAAAGGCGCGTATCTGTCGATGAGAAAGAGCATATCGTTGTAGGCGCTTTTAGTGTGTTAGCTATGCCTTATCACTTCCTGCTCGACTCACACTTGGCGAATCGCTTTACCCTGGGCAACGTGGTTGACCGAGTAGATGACATTCCAGTAGATACTGTAGAGACGATTCCGTTCGTTCCACTCCTCTCTCGGCTCGCTAGGCTCTTGGTACCTCAAATAGGTTTCCAAGTATACCTTGTTGCTGATATTGTTGTAGTAAGGTCTCCAATCCGCCACTTCTAGCTCATTATGGGCGTAGAACGCAGCAGAGTCGAAAAGAAGCACATCACTGCCGTCAATGGCTGTACCGATGTTGCCTTCCCAGAGATCACCGTGAATCAAGCTTGGCTTGATCTTACGACCTTCCGTTGTTAGGGCTCCAAGCAGTCTCGGAATGACAAACTGAATGAGCCGCTTTTCGGCCTTGTCGAGCTCATCCCAAGCTCCGTTCAACTCGAAGTCGACATCGATGACATGTTGCAGGAGTTTGACGAAGAACACCGTCCAGTCCCTCTCCCATGCTACAGACCGAGTCGCACGACCCTGGCATGTCGTTACATGGAATCCGTATTGACCAGTAGAAGAGGTGCTTTCGCGATGAAGACGAGCCAGCTTCTCACACAGCTGATCGGGATCAGGCATTGCGTCGCTCACCTCAACGTATTGTGAGAGGAAGAAGTACGCCTCCGGTTCATCATCTCGGTATCGTCCCCACGAGTGCGGCTTGGGCACGAGATGCGGTGCCCACTTGTACAGCTCAGACATCGCGTTGAATTCACCCTCCATTAAGGTACGACCATGAGCTTCTGAGGCCGACTTCAGGAAGTAGCGTTCCTCGGTACCGTCGGGCAATAGAAGATGTAGCCGGGCGGTCACCGTCCAGGACGATACTCCAAAGCGGTGCGCAGAGATGACCTTTATATCCTTTGGAAACTCGGCAAGAACGTTGTCGTCGACTTTGAAGTCTCCGTCGTAGACTAGGCTGTCCATGCGAGACTTGTCCGTGAGCACTTGGAGTGGAGTGGGTGTCTGCATCATGATCTGCTATTGCGAATGCCCTGAGACGTGGATTTTGAATCGCGATATAAGACATTCGCTCGAGTGGATGGTGTTGCAACATTAGCAAGATCTTCCAGGGTTCTGCGTCACGAAAGCTGCGCCACCAACATGTGACTGCATGCACTCAAGAGGCACGTACCGCACGCGCCGTTTGTCAAGCATAAGCGGCGCAGTAGACAATCAGTGCTTAGTCGCGGTTTCTGCTTAGGTACAAACGTTTTTACCTAAGTAAAAAGTACTTTTTACCTAGGTATAAACTCTTCTTCTTCGGTATAAACTCTTCCTCTTAGAAACAAACCTTCCTGCTTAGGTACATACCTTTCTGCTTAGGTATAAACTCTTCTGCTTAGGTATCAGCGTTTTTACCTAAGAAAATACTATAATATAAGTATGTATAACCTTTTACTTAGGTAAAAACGTTTATACCTAGGTATAAACTATAATACTTCTTACCTAGATATAAAGTACTTTGTGCCTAGGAAGAAACTCCACAATTATTACCTAGGCAATAACTCGAGCCGAAGGCGTTGTCTTTACCAGCTAAGCATCTACCGCATAAACGCAATTGGTGACAGATCTCGAGCATAAGACCTTCGATCACTGTTCATCAGCATGAAGAACATCGCACACAGGAGGAGTCGGCAATACGCGAGGCTGCAAAGGTGTCTGACATTCATCTAACACGATAGCGGTGTTACTCTCATCGCCTACGAAGACGCCGGCGGCTGAGGCCACTTGTCCAGTACGGTCTCTTCACCCGTTATTATGAGCTTCAGCTCCGCCTGCGTAGGCTCGTCAAGAAGCAGTGTGTACTCTCCCGGATACACGACCGTGTTGCCCATTTGGTCGACCCGCGCCAGCGTTCCAAGCGTAAGAGAGAGTGATGCCATCTTCGTCTGACCACCAGCAATGTCCCTCAATCGCGCGTATGAGACCAATGTCTTGAGTGGGTATGGCTTTGGTCCAGCCTCGCCCTTGATGAAAGCTAGAGCGACGAAATCGGAAGTCATGTTACCCTTATTGGTCACCCCAATCTCCAGTGGCGCAACGCCGCACAGATCGGGATACATCTGCGAACAATCGCTCATGATATCCTGGATGTTGTAGGTGAGTCCTTCGCTGCTGCTGAAGTTCGCCGCAAATGTGGTGTAGTGCAAGCCAAAGCCGAATGGCTGTACGGATTGGTTGTACCAGCGGTAGGTGCGACCTGGACTAATGGCACCGGGGCGCAGGTTCATGTTCAGCATCGAGAGGTTGGTATAGCTTGCGGGGTATTGCGTGATTGGTAGACGACCAGCAACTGCATGCGCGCCAGTGATGACATCCATGACGGCCAATCCACCATCTTGACCAGGCCAGTTAGCCCAGATGACGGAGTTGACGCCTTCCATCGACAGTAAGGGAGAGTTGTCGACCATGTCGCCTAATACAACAACCACAAGCGGCTTTCCAAGCTTAGCAAGCTTGGTGATGAGTTCGACTTGCGCGCTAGGCCAGCTGATGTCGGTACGGTCGAAACCTTCTGCCGCTGCTGAAGTGTCTAGACCACCAAAGTAGATGATGTAGTCAGATCCTTCTGCCGCATTGAGCGCGTTCGTTGTCCAGTTATCGCGGGCACTGGAGTTCTGCAAAACAGGGCCAGTGGCAATAGACATGTTCAATCCGAGCTGTTCACCAGCCCACACGGGGGTGCGCAGGTAGGGAGCAGGGCCGCTGTAGATACCGGACAACTTCGACGAGTCATTGGCCCAGAATCCGATCATGGCGACATTAGACCCATTGGAGAGAGCAAGAGGGAGCGTGTGGTCATTCTTCAGCATAACGAGACCTTCTGATGCGACTTGGAGAGAAAGTTGCTGTGCCTCCGGTGTGTTCACATCATCGATTCCTAGGTCTGCGTATATAGCTCCAGCACCGTCAAAGTAGCCAGCACGAACGAGACCCTCGTACTGCCGCGTGAGCGCCCTGTCAATAACGGTGACGTTCAAGAGTCCTTGACTCCAAGCTCCAGGGATATCGGAAGATCCTTCGTACTCGCAGCTGTTGTCCATGCCGGCGATGAAGGCGACTGCTGTACCTTCGGCGAGCGTATCTGTGTAGTTGTGGTTCTCGGAAATGTCAGCGACAGCCTCACAATCACTGGTGATGTAGTTGTTGCTTTCTGTCCAGTTCCAGTGGTCGCGCAAGATGGTTTGTAGAACGTACGTATCGGCGCATGTAGGGACCCCGTTGACAGCGTTGTACGAGCACATGAACGAGCCGACTTTGGAGTCTCGCGCGCATTGCTGGAAAGGCGGCATGTAGTACTCCGCAAGGTCCTGCATTGTGATTTTGGCGTCAAAGTTGTGGCGATCGACGCCGCCCCAAGCCTCCATGTCGTAGCCAACGTAGTGCTTGCATGTCGCGATGATCTTCCTTTGAGCTTGGTCGCCCTCTAGACCAGCGAGCAGGCTCTTTGTGTAGCCCTTGATGCGCAGAATGTCTTCGCCTGGCGTCTCTGAGCCCCGACCCCAGCGAGGATCGCGGAATGGGTTGATGTCTGGAGTCCAGTAATCCACCGGAGCCACACCGCCATTGCCGAAAGCACGCGCCTCATTTCCGATGATATTGGCGATCTTGAAGATGAGATCGTCGTCAAAGGCAGCCGACATGAGTAATGGCATGGGGAAAGACGTGGCGTTCGTGAACGGTTCGGTGAAGTTGATTCCCGGGGCTCCTGCTACACCGTGCAATGCCTCACCCCACCAGTTGTACGCAGGAAGGCCCAGTCGCGCTACACCCCTCGATTTACTGCAGAAATCAGTTTTATGCAGTGATGAAGCTGCGATGGAGGCCTACCTCATCAAATTTTCGAGCTTCTCCTCATTTTCCATAGCCGCAACGAGGGCCATTGCCCGTTCCGTGGGCGCGGCATTGACATCGCAGATCTTGTTGTCTTTCAACGGGCCATTGACACAATCGGGACCGATCGCGTAGGTGGTCGATAAGAAAGTGCCGCCAAGAAGGAGAAGAGATGAGGCGGAATGCATCATGACTACACAGGTACGATGCGTACAGTACCGCTGCTAGACTGCCCTTACCTGTCACGTTGAGGCACCCGACCCTTTATTACTTTCACGACTCGAGGTGCCCAAGACCACCATGCAGCCAAGGATGCGAATTGATCCGGGCAGCAACCCAAAGACGCGCTATTTTACTCTCCCGTGAAGCCATAGTGAGGGTTGACCGTGCTACCCCGCGTGCCCGCGTATACGAGCCCCGGATCTGCATGATGCTTTCTCTCGATCGACCCGCGATAATAAACGACATTCAGCCACCGGGCTCAACGGAACATGATGCGCATGTCATATCACATCACTTCGCATGGATTTGCAGCAGTGTTAGTACCTCGGTAAAGTTTAAGCGACTGGTCATTTCGCGGTACGTAAAAAAACGCGACGCGTCCACGGGTAGCTAGCTAGCAGAGTGGCTTCTTCCCGCGTCCCACACACAACGGCTGTAACCCATTTAACCATTGCTTTAACTAGCTTGGCTGTTCTTGGGCTTGTCCGGGAAGACTTTGGTGCTCAAATCGAAGACGGGCAGCGGGCATGGGATTCCCACGGCTTCGCAAGCGGTAAGAATGGCGAGGTACCAGCCAGAGATCAAGCCTAGAAACCCGAATCCTCCTGCGCATCGCAACAACGTGTTGATGTGTTCAAGATCGGCTTCAGTCGTGGCGGAGGCAATGGAGAAGTCGGCGGCAGCGATGAAGCCGAAAAGCATGACGAGCCCGAAGAACGTAAATGTGAAGAAGAGATTGACGCGAAGGGTACCGATCAAGAAGACGAAGCTGGCGAGCACCCTGCACACTCATTAAAGGCTGCATTCCCACATACAAGAGCCGGCACTACTCACATGGAAACGTTATGGAAGCCTTGAGACGCATTGTAGGCTGCGCCTTCCGCGCCACCGAGCTCACCGAAGGCGGAAGTCGTCTGGTGTATGGGGTCTTGCTGGTACGCCAAACTGCCCCAATGGCTACCATAGATGATGAAGACCGCGAAGGGAAACGCTGCAAGAAGTTAGTACCAACAGTAGGGCACCTATAGACAAAGGCAAACCGTACTGTTACCCAGGATAAACTCGGCGATGCCAGCGAGATTCATGGCTAACGCTCCAAAAAAGTAGTAGTCGGCGCTGATGCCGACCAAGCTCTGCGGCGCGACGGCTCCTTGGAACCCGCACAAAATGAGGATAGTTGAAGTGTATGGAACCAAAAATCCGATGAGCCCAAGCAGCGTTGGGTTGGCGAACCGCTTTGCGAGATCTCCGCGACGGGGTGCGGAAGGCTGGAAGAAGAGACGCTCGTACTGCTCGGGCGAGAGAGCGACAGTGACCTGGCGACTCAACGGCGCACCATTGCTTGCGATGTTCACGCCGTTATGCTCAGTCATCTCGTGATCTATCTTTGCCGTCTCTGACATGATGTAAGGTGGCTCTTTGTGTAGATGTCGTTAAGTTGAGGACGCAGGACGAGATGGCAGCTGGCTGTGAGAGCAGATTGGAGATGACATCTTCCTGGGCCGCGGCATGATAGCTATATCGCAACACAGAGATGGCTCTGATTGACAGGAGACGGCACACGGCTCAGATCTCACACCCTGCTGTCGTCATGTCTCGAACAAACCGAGGCATGTCGCCCGTCTCAGGCAGCGTATCCCCAGATTTCTCCGCATATGTCTCCACATTTGCTGCAACGGCTGAGCAAGAGACGGGTTATTGTACGATAGGCGCTGCTATCCGAAAGCCTGGGTCGCGCTGGTTGGTGGACGGTAGGCAGAGCGGCAGATCAAGCCTTGTCAAGTGGTGCGAAGCATTACGTTCCGCGGACTCGGCAACGGGGCGCTAGGCAGAGAAGAGGTAACGGACCGCGCATGACATCACGGTCAACGCTCGGTTACTTAAGGTAGCTAGACTCTGCATCACAGCCTGCAGCTTGTAGTCTGCTAAATCAGAGATATCTTATCTACTTTGTTTCTATTAGTACTCTATTACTCTAGTAATCTAGATACTAGTAATATAGAAATTAGGAATAGAAATAGAGAATATAAAGTATAGTAGAAGAATAATCTTATAAGCTAAGAATTTATTATTAATACTACTTAATAATTACTTTCTTATTTAATAGAAATTAATAACGTAGGTGCATGCTTTACAAATTAGTAGGCTTTATAAAATACTTATACTAAGACTCTATTAAAACTACTTCTACTCTATAATACCTAATTAACTATACTAGATAGAACTATTAAAGAAAGCTAGAATATAAACTACGCTTTAAGCTATTAAATAAGACGTAACTTTCTTATTATAACGCGCTATAGCTACTTACAATATCTCTTATATAACTCTATACTATTAATACGCTAGATAACTTTTATAGATAGATTATAGGCTAATAATAATAAGTTTATATAAGACTAAGAAGAGAGTAATTATTTAGTATATACTTAACTTAGTTAAGCAAGAATTTCTCTCTTACTTTATAGATATAGCTAATATAGCTAATTTCTTACGCGCTAAGCGTAATTTAGCCTAAGTTAGCCTAAGATAGCCTAGTACGTTTATTAAGCGCTAACTAGAGCTCTAAGTAAAGTTTAATTATAAGTATAACTATAAGAGAGCCCTCTGCAAAGACTCTATAGCTATTTAAGCTTAGTTCTAGCTAGTAGCTAATATAAAAGCTAAGTATAGTATCTAGAATAAGAATACCTATAACTTTAATAAGACTAGCTTTATAATAAGCATAATATTAACTAGAGCTATTATTATAGCTTTAGAGAAGTAAGAATAACTAAAGTCTATTTAGCTAAGTAATTGCAAGTAGACTATAATTATTTAGAGTATTAATATAATAAAATAGACTATTCTACTCTATATTATTTTTAAAGAGCGCTATTACCTCTCTATCTAGTATAAAAAGAACGCTATATCTTAGAATTAGTTAATCTTAGTCTTTAAGAATAGTTAGACTATAAATAAGATTAGTTTCTAGTAGTTAGAGCACTTTAATATCTATATAAAGAAGTATACTATAAAATAGTACTAGCTACTTATTATTAATAGATATAAGAGCTATAATACTCTTTAGTTTAAGTAATACTATAAAGAGAAGAAGATTATTACTCTCTATATGCCTCTACACTTATCTTACCTACTATAGCTACTTAATATAAGTTATTTTAGGCTATTAAAGAAAGCGTATAGCTACTAAGCTAAGAAGCTAATACGTAACTAGATTAGCTATATTATAAAATATAAGTTCTTACTATACTTTAAGCGCGCCTTTAACGCTATAATTACTCTTAGTAATATCTAAGAAGAGTTTTAAGGCGCTAGATTAGTTCTAATTAATCTAGAGATAGTTATAATAAGCTTTAACGTATAGTTATGTACCTCTTTACTACTACTTATTAGCAACTTACTTTAGCTATTATAAACTTCTAGTAATACTCTTAAAATAAAGTTATAATTAACGCTAGTAAAGTAGAGAATTTAGAGGCATATAGATAGCTTACTAACTTCTATAGTAGAGGCCTTTAAGAAGGTCTTAAAGAGCGTAGTAATAATTATATATAAGCTAGTATTAGTCTAAAAGAAGATTGCTAAGCTTTAAGTAGCTAATAAGGCTACTACGTAGCGCAAATTATATAAAAGAAAGTAAATTAGAGTAGAAGAGTCTATAATAGTTGAGAATAGCTAGCGCAGAATAGCTTTATAAGAGTTTAGAGCGCGTAGTAATAAAAAAAAAGTAAAAAGGTAAGTACGCGCTAAAGAGAGTAAACTATTCTAAAGACGCTATAGACGCTATAATAATATAGAATATAACGCGTAAACGTGTAATTATAAAGTAGAAGTAGCCTCTTAATTCTATTTTAGTATCTTTTATACTATATTATACTAAAGTAGATTATTACAGGCTATAATAGAGGAGGTTTTAGTAGGGTCTTAGTATAAGTATTTCGCAAAGCCTGCTAATCCGCGAAGCATGCACCTACGTTATTAAGTATATTATTACTTTATTTTAGTAATATTCTAAGTCTAATTAAATCTATTTTTATAGTAAGATAAGTATAAAAAATAGAAAGATATTATAAAAAGGTCTATACTAATTTCTTATAAAATAACTAAGATTAATATAATTAGAATTTAGAGTATATTGCTATTAGTAATAGAATTATTATATATTTATACATAGATTTATATATACTTATATAACTCTATTTAATCTATAGCTAAAGATTAATAAGAAAACTTTAAATAATAGATAATAATAAAAATACTACTATTGCTACTTGTAAATTTTATTTTTAATAAACTATTACCTACTTTTATTATCTTATAAAATTAAGAAAATAATTACTAATACGTTTACTTTAAAGTAATTGTAATTTATAACTTAAATAGTAATAAAAGTGATAGTACTAAGTAAGAAAATAGAAAGCTATAAATAGTTTATCTCTAGTATTCTATTTTATATAATTAATATCTAGAGTCTTAGTAATAGCTATATAATTTTAGTATAAAGTATACTTTAGATATAAAACTAGTAAAAGCTTTATATTAAGCTTTACTATACTTATTAAAAACTTTTTTTTAGTTAGCTTACTAATAAAGTTTTTATAAAATACTTAACTTACTTTATTAGTAAGAGTTTTTAATATAAGTATAAGTAAATAGAGTAAGAAAAGTATTATATTATTAAGATACATTTCTAGAATAATAAAAGTATTAATAATTTTAATAGTACTAAGAAATTAGTTTTTAAAGTAAAATACCTAGATTCTACCTCTTATAATATAGATAGTATTTAATTCTATACCTACTTAAAAAGTCTCTAAAATAGCTTTTTATATATTTTCTTTTAGTTAGTAAAAAGTAGCTTGTAGTAGCTTAATAGAAATAGTATAGTCTAGAAGAATATACTTAAAGTAGTATTAAGAAAATAATCTAGTAAAATAGTAGTAAGTAAAGTAATATAATTAGTAAATAATTAGTTCTATCTTTATAGATTTTTTAAAGGCTTTAAAAACATTTAATATTCTAGAATATTATTAAGTATTACTCTAAACTATTTATATCCTTAATATATCTTTAAATTTTTTAAACTTTTTAAATTAGTAACTTATAGAATACAAAAGCTACGTTTTTACTAAAATAAATTCTAGTCTATATATTCTATCTATAAATCTTAAGAATAAATTACTTTTCTACTTATAAGCTAATTAGTATATGTTGTTAAACTATAAATTTTAAATTAAGTTCTTTTTAACATTATTTAGTTTTATGCTAGTATTAAGACTAGCTTAGAATCTAGAGCTATAACTACTATTTAAGTAGTAGCGCTTAAGCTCTAAATTTTAGCTTGCTTAATACTCTAGATCTTATAGTAATATAAAAATTTAATTTTACTTTTTCTAGTATAATATATATAAGAGGCTAACTTAAAAACTAAATATTAGAAAATAATAACAAAAATCAATAGCCTTAAAAAGTTTTTTAAAGTAGCTATATACTTTAAGAAAATTTTATAAGCTTATCTATAACAAAATTCAGTCTCTAAAACTATTATCTTAAAGTCTTTTTAGATATAGTTTATTAAAGAAATTTTTTTTATTAAAACTTTTATATTTTATAGTTGTTAAATTTATTAGAGCTTAATTTTCTAAGTATAAACACTACAAAATCTTAGACGCTAGAAACTAGTATTTTACCTAGAAAAGATTAAGTAAGCTATTTTATAATTTTAACTTTAATATTAGAACTACTCTTTATATCTTATAAATAATAATAAGTAATATTAAAAGAATAATATTATGTACTTGACCTACTTTTAATATTTTACTTTAATATATTTCTCTCTTTTATATTTACTTTACTTACACTCTACTATATAAGCTTCTTTAACTACTACTTTTACTTCTAATAGTAAAACTTAGAGTACTAGTTAAATAAGTAAGCTTCTCTCTAAATTTTTACTTTAGTAAGTTTTATTACTCTTCTTTCTAACTTTATTTACTATATAAACTATTATTATAGCTTACTAAGTTAAAATGCTAGTCTAATACGTTTTCTTTTTTATCAACTAAACTATTAAACTTTTAAAGTAATACTAAGAATATTAGAATAAAGCTTATAGAGCCTGACATTTATTTATACTATTTATTACTTTATATAAAAAAAACTAATATATATATATTAAGGCTATATTTAAAGACTAATAGTTAGTGGAAATAAATAAGAGTTTGTTATAGAACGCACCTCTAAATACTCTTAAAAAGCATTACACGTAATTATACTAGTATAGATAAAGATAAGCTCTTAGAAGCTTTACTACTTAAAAGAGCTTTCTAAGTAAGATTATAATATAATAATTTATCTTCTATTTTTTTCTATACTTCTAGACGCGACAGAGTTTAGTATA